GACATAGATTGTCCACGGTAAGTCGGACTCGCTCAGCTCGGAAGGTGGTGTGAGCTCGGCTATGAAATCTGCCGCTGCTTGTCCTTTCAACGCAGTTCTGGGTTCGAACTGGATGTCGTACTCACTTAGCTCCATTGCCCACTTCATCAGGCGTCCAGAAGCTTCTGGCTTATGGAAGATGTTTTTTAGGGGCAAGTTAGTGAGCACCACCACAGTATGGGCTTGGAAGTATGGTCTAAGCCGTCGGGCCGAGGTGACTAAAGCGAGAGCCAACCTTTCCATTTGAGGGTATCTGGTCTCGGCTTCGGTCGTAGCCTTGCTTGTGTAGTAGACCGGGTTTTGCCGCGCTTCCTCTTACCTGATTAGGGCCGAGCTGATGGCACTGTCAGACACTGCTAAGTACAACTGGAGCTTGTCCCCTGGCAGGGGCTTGGTGAGCAAAGGTGCCGAGCAGAGGTAGCTCTTCAATTGCTGAAATGCTTGCTCGCACTCCGCTGTCCATTCAAACGRCCCTTTCTTTCGTAGGACTTTGAAGAAAGGGAGGCACTTATCTGTCGATCTTGAAACAAACCGGTTCAGGGCTGCAATCCTGCCATTGAGGCACTGAAGCTGTTTCAGCGTTTTGGGTGCCTCCATCTCGAGCACGGCTTTAATCTTTTCGGGGTTGGCCTCGATCCCCCGGTGGTTCACCATGAAGCCAAGGAATTTTCCCGAAGAGACTCCAAAGGCACATTTAGCTGGGTTGAGCTTCATTTGATATGTCCTTAGAACCTCGAAGGCTTCGGTCAGATCGGAAAGATGCAACTTAGACTGCTTGCTCTTGACGAGCATGTCGTCCACATACACTTCCATATTCTGGCCGATCTGTTTGGCGAACATTTTGTTCACCATTCTCTGGTAGGTCGCTCCTACGTTCTTTAAACCGAAGGGCATGACCTTGTAACAGTACAGACCTTGGTCTGTTATGAATGCGGTAGGATCTTGATTCGGGAGATGCATCTTGATTTGGTTGTACCCAGAGTAGGCATCCATGAAAGTGAGCAGTTCGTGCCCGGCTGTGGCGTCCACGAGCTGATCAATCCTCGGCAGTGGRAAGCAATCTTTCGGGCATGCCTTATTTAAGTTCGTAAAGTCTACGCACATTCTCCACTTTCCGTTAGATTTTTTAACTAATACAACATTGGAGAGCCACTCGGGATACGAAATTTCTCTTATGTATTCAGCTTTCAACAGTTTGCTAACTTCCTCAACAATTACATCACTCCTCTCCTTGTTTATAGGTCTTCTTTTTTGTTTTACAGGTCGGAATGACGGATCTATGCTGAGGCGATGCGTCATAATTTGCGGGTCAATGCCAGGCATGTCCTCATGGGACCATGCAAAGACGTCCGAGTTGGWTCTGAGGAAGTGGATTAGCTCCTCTCTGTCGGTGGCCCCCAGCTTGGTTCCTATGCTTACTTGCTTCTCGGGACTAAGCAGAGGAACAAGCTCGAGCTCCTCAGTGGGTGCGGCAAACTCCCTCCTCGGCAGGTCGGCCTCGAACTCGAGCGTCCCATCCCCACTGGCGAGAGTTTCGATGGCGCAGACCGATGAGCCTTTGAGCGCGGAGGCATAGCACTCCCTCGAAGCGGTCTGTTCTCCTCGGACCGTGCCCTCATCATTGGGGGTGGAATACTTCAAAACTTGATGAAGTGTTGAGGGAATGGCCCGAAATGAGTGGATGATGGGTCTCCCAAAGATGGCGTTATAGGCCGATCTACCGTCAATTACCACGAACTTGGCCATTTGGGTGACCTGAGTTTGGTCCTGCCCAAGCGTGACCGGCAAGTCGATGCAACCCTATGGGATGACCGATTCTCTAGAGAACCCAACCAGCAGTGTCGGGCTTTTCTTCAATTGCGACCTCGTCCATCCCAGGGCGAGGTAGGTCGGTAAGGACAGGATGTTAGCAGATGCGCCTCCGTCTACCAGCACCCTCCTTACCACCACATGATCAATCAAGGGAGCGATCACAAGTGCATCATTGTGGGGCAGGTGCACCTCCTCTAAGTCTGTACTGTCGAAGGTGATTGGGCAGGTTGGCCTCTRTTCCCTGATGATGCACACCTCGCGCCTGGCTGCACGAGCTAACTCCTTTCTTTTGTGTCCGGACTGACCCCCGCTTGGCCCTCCGAAAATGGTATTGATGACCGCAGGTCGGTCAGTGCGCCGGGGCGGCGTCCTCGAACGCTTACGCTCCTCTTTTTTCTCTGCCGAGCTGGTCCTGGGCTTTCCCATAAATTTCTTGAAGTAGCCATCTTGAATTAGATCCTCAATTTGGCGTTTCAACTCCCAGCAGTCTGACGTGTTGTGGCCGTGCTCCCGATGGAAGCGGCAATACTTGTCCTTACTGCGCCTTTCTGGGGCTCCCCGAAGCTTCTCAGGACGTTTGAGTAGTTTTTCCATTCCGGACTCCTCGATGTTCGTTAGGATCTCGGAAATTGGAATTGTGGTCGGGGTGAAGCGTTCGTAAGGTCGGCTCCTGGTGGGTCTGTTCACCGCCCTTCGAAACTCAGCTCGTCCACTGGAGAAAGATCCCTTGTCCTTGTACTTGGGATCCGCCTTTTCACCTTTTCCGCTTCTGTCTAGGCCGATCCTTCGTTCTGGTCGGCCGGTTTTGGTTCGGAGGAGCTCCTG